ATTAAAGCCAGACTAATACATTCCACAGTAATTTAAATTTTTATGATAAGAGGATACTAATAACAGTTGTTTAAGTATTTTTCGTAGCATTCGTTATTGATTTTTAATATTCAATGTAATAATTAAATACTTCAAGTAAATAATATAGTAGATGAAATATATTTTCATGGCGATTTTGATGACAAGTCGTGAATATTTATTTCGGATCAATTTCGTAGGTGTTGCCTTTAAACTAGTGTTATTTATTAAATAATCGAAGAAGGAAATTACATACAACTAATTAGGTCCGTCCCTGGGTCGCCGTTAAACGTGTTTTTATACGATTTCCTATGTTTTGCCGAAAGAGAAAGAATATCTTTACCTCCAACTATAGGTAATATTATAGTTTTTTGCAGAAATAATAAGAAGGATTATTATTTCCTATATACTTTAATATAATCACAAAAATCTAAACAGACGACAACTGACTTTTATATGATGAGCATTCATTTTACCGACAATAGCAGATGGTAATATGGTAATAGATATAAAAAAATACCTCTGACTGAAAGTATAACGATTCAACGAGAAAATGGGTTCAATGTATAAAGGTGGACAATCAGAGTAACAAATTTATAATCTTAATAGAGGTAATCAATTTTCGGCACGGTCTGGTAGCGTAAATTGAGGTGATAAATAAATTCCAACTCAAAACACAAAAGGGAACGTATACGTGTACGTAAACCAAATTCATTTGATTCGTGATTTATAAATAACAGAAATATAAAGTGTGTTTCTTGTTATATAATGCTCTGGATAATTATTACTTTTTGATGGTAATATTAATTTAAAAGAGAATTCCAGAACATTTAAATTTTTGTTTTGAAACTAAACTCAGTCGTTTTATATTTTTTAATAGAACCAGTGAACCTTGGATACCTGATATGAAATAAATTGTAATGTCTTTTCATTCATCAATTAGGTACATTATAGTATTATTTAACATTAAGTATTTAAAATTAAAAAAATGAGATTTCTTAAGAATTAAAAAGATTTTTCTTAAAATTTATAAAAAAAATCAAAAATAAATAAATTCGTTACTTATTTCGTACACTGTATAAATATTAAAAGGAGCAGTGCCTCCTAATTCTTACAAAACTGCGGTTTTCATCCTCTTGAGTAAAAATCATAATTAGTGAACAACTGTAAAGGGAACCTTGAAATCAAGGCAGACTAGACAAGACATCAACTTTTTTAACGAATATAGTTCAATCTATTGTTATGTACACGTGGGGCACGGCCAACTAGGAAATAGTAAAAAGTAACTGACAGCCTTTATTTCTTTAATCATTTTTAAGAATCACAAAGACGATTTTACCGGGTTTAACCTACCGATGATTACAATCCACTACATTATTCATACAGTAGTAGCATAAATCCATTTTAAAAAGTTTGTTTTTATTACTGAGACTGATGTTTATTCAAAGTTGATTTTTTCTGAATAATAAGTAATTCTGGAATATTTTCTAGATGTATTTTTAGGTCGAATGATAATGGATGGTTTTATGAATAGTCAATGGTAAAATGCAGTAGAAAATAGTTACAGGAAACCAATTATCGGGTGGGGATTGGGATTGTCATAAAATAACAACACTATGAGATAAAGAACACAAAAAGTCAAAAAAAGAGTACAAAAATGGCAAAACAATTAAAAAAGGAAACAACATGAAAATATACAATACTATTCCTCAAAATACATTATGCAAAACTCCTAATTGAAATAAAATAGTAGTTTGTGCAACAAGAGTGGATATGATGGCCATATCGCACGAAGATGAAATTTGAGCACGACGCCGTAGGCGGAGTGCTCAATCGTCTTAGTGCGATGTGGACAATCCACTTGAGTTGCACAGTATCTTTTTTCTACGACCCACTAACGAAAATTTACAAATAAAAAAAATATTTTAGGTTAATAAACCAAAATAACTAATTTTAAAATAATTTATGACTTTTAAAATAAAATAAACTAAGAAAAAAAATTATTTAAAAGTCCCAAGTAGAGACTTGAACTTGGGTTTCTCGGGTGGAAGTCGGACAATTTCGTGATAATTTCGTGATAATTTCGTGACAATTTCGTGACCATTTCATGACAAATTCGTGACAATTTCGTGACAATTTCGTGACAATTAAAAACCAATGTTTTTCGGTAAAACTTAAATTTAAATAATTTACAAAATAGTTTAATTTTAACTGGCCACTGATTAACAGAAAATAGACTGTTTGTTAATTAGGGATTAGAATTTAACTAGCTGTAATTTATTATCGACTAAAAATTTTTTTGACAATTTCTAATAGGACTAACATTCAGTTGAAAATAAATACCCATAGCAACCAATTCTAGACTCACTACATTATAATACCTACTTTATTCTAAGTTTATTATATTTTTAAGTTGACTTTGAAACCTCAGTACTGATAACAATATTAATTTTTAGAAAATTGTTTTTCAAATTTAAATCTTTTAAATCGTTTGATGTTCAGTTCCAGTGTCCATTTTGCTTTTTAAACATTAAAAAACTTGTAGCAAATTTTATTTAACTCTGTTTGTAATGTATGCGCATATATTTTTTAGTATCGTTATTTTATTATGTGACGTTTTAATTTTTTTTATTATTTTTTAATCCTTGACAAGTACCAATGCTTTAAAAAAATAAATGTTCAGTTCGTTTCGCTTGCTGGTTATAGCGTGTGAAATGCCCTGTATAATCTCATATTATTTAGTATGAAATAAAATACAGGGTGTTCCATTTAAAAAACCTAACTTTGATATGTATCACTTTCTTGGAGAACCCTGTATGATTAAAATTATTTTTAAATTGTTTTCTTTCCCTATACATACATTGTTGCTTTTTCTGATATAGATTTCAATATGAAAACAGATTTAAAAATCATATACCTAGTTTTGACTCTACAGACAGAGGCGTTATCGGTGGCCCACCCTGTATATATGAAGATTTTAAACAAATTTTATGTAAGTTAGAACATTAGAACATATCAACTAAGCAAATATATTTATTCGTTTTTTATTGAGTTTATATGATTTTAAAAGTTTTGATTGTGTTTAACTTTACTTTAGGAACTCTAGCTATAGAATTTAAATGAGCGTTTGGAAATATTTGGTCTAGAAATTTACGGAAAGCCATTTTCCATTAAAAAATAGCTCCTCATTTATTTATGACTACTTAGGATATATTTTTTAGCATTACCATACAGCAATAGACCCTTTAATTTTCCGTTGGTTCCTTTCGTTTTAATATTTTTTAAAGTTCTAGGATAAAGCAACCTTTAATGAGATAACCTTTATAATAAATAAATAATTATATAACTCTGCTTGTATGATTTTTTTGGAATTACTTGTCAATCATTTATAAAAGAAAATCACAATAATTTCCAGCCATCAGCGAATTAATTTTCTTCTTAATTCTCCGCCAATGGATTACTTCAGAACTGATAGAATCGATGGGAGGATTTACTCATTTTCAACTGACCGGAAATGTGAAGTTCTCCTATCGGATATCCGGATCCTGATCCAAATCCAGTTGCGCTTTTATTTTCGGTTCCCTTTCAAAGAATTAAGTAATTGGTCAAAATGTCACACTTAAGATACTCCATTAAAGAGTTAATCCAAAATCCAAAGCTTCAAAAGGAAAAAAAAAACAGAAAATTGAACTGAAAGATTCCACGAAGTCAGACACACATGCAAAAAATAACATTTATTTTTCGTTAAATATTTTATAGGTATACCAAATTTAAACTGATATTCAATATTCGAATTTTATCGTAAAACATTTTTTTTCATCTACATACGACATCAATTTTTTGATATCAATCTAAAAGCAAATAAAACCAAACAGAAAAAGGAAGTGATCCTCAATAAAATATGAAAATAGCATGGAGGAAAAAGCAAATAAGCTATGACTATTCAAAGTCAATTCTAACCCAGCATCAAACAAACAAAAGGTGAACGGAATCAAGCAAAAGAAAGATATCAGCCAAGCGAACTAGCGTAGGGAAATTCAGAATTCAGGTCGATAGACAAAGAATAAATAATCGAATCAAATAAATTTAAGTTTATTCGAAATGACTGGATAAAATAACTAATAATTTTTTATCTTCGCTTATTTACCGCTTAAAGCAATAATGGCATCAAAATAACACATCGACGGCGAAACCAGAAAAATGTGTAACTCTATATTTTAATGAATTTCAGATTTTAGTGTGATCTTTCACTGTAAAAAATTGCATATCAGTCATTCTTTCCTTCAGAAATTGTTCCAAAATAGAAATCTACGTGAGTCTTTTAAACAAAGTCTGGGGTCCCGCAAGGCTCAATATTGGGTCCGTTGCTATTTCTTATCTTTATCAATGATATCGTCTTGACTATTAAATGCTCTCCTCTTCTGTATGCAGATGTATAAGGTTATTTCGTTCAGTGTACTGTACTGGAAATTGTTCAGTACTTCAGTCTAAAATAAATAAATAAAACTATCGGATGTCGATTTTTCCAAAAAAAAATCAACTTTTTGGATCGATCTAGATCGCGCTTTTATAAATCGATCCACTAAAAGATCGTTAATATTAAAATCGATATATGAAAAATCGATTTTTCGATTTTTTTTGCTTGTCAAAAAATTAATACAATTTAAGTTTACTTTATTGTTTATTTTAATCTAAACACTAATCTTCTCTCTCCAAACAATTCAAAAACAACAGCCTATCAAATCTTTCAGCTTCTGTCTTCGGTTAGGATTTGGCCTGCTTCTGAAAAAAAGCCTTTCTGATGGTACTGATGTAGCAGTAATACATACAAAAGTATCGTACAGCTATTTTACGAAGGTTCACAAACATTTGGGAGTTCCAAAATTTAATGGGGTTTTTTTTCTCAAATCTTCCAATGGTTGGTTTAAATAAAAAGTAATTTCAGCAGCTTTGTCATTACTGTGGACTTGTGGTCGGTTCTCTTAAATTAAAGTATCATGGTGCCTCCATAAACTAGCAGCTTCTTTCCCAGGTGCATCTACTTCGTCAGGTACTTCATCCTCTTCAAATAATGCTTTGTCATCTTTTATTTCGGAAAGAGTATTCATAATTTTTGTCACTGCATAAAAACAGGCAATTTTATCTTCGAAATAAATTTTTTTGAAACGGGGATCTAACACAGTCGAAATAGCTAAGCTTGTTACTTGTTCAATTGATCCAAATCTCCTGGATATTTCCTCCAAAAGTAATTTTTTAGTACCTTCTCCTGATGGTGATTTGGTCTGCACAGAATTTATTTCCTTTCGCAAGCAATAAACTATTGGTATTACCTTGCTTGCAGTTACATACTTTGCTCCTGAAAGTTCTCTGGTAATACTTTCCAAGGGTTTGAGTATTGTTATTAAGTCCGGGCAGTTTCTAGCTGACTTGCAGTTAACATACTTGAGTTTTTAAGTAGAATAGCTGCCACTTTTTCCGAAAGATTTACAAATCTCTCAATCATATAAAACATCGAATTCCATCTTGTACTTACAGATTGTATGAGTTTCAAGGGAGCTTGTCTCATATCTTGGCACTTTCTCAATTCATCTGAGGCTGCCATACTATGTTTAAAGTATCGTACAATGTCTTTGATTTGAGTAACGAACTCTTTAATATCAGTGCTGCTATCAAATGGTTTAGCAGCTACCAAGTTGATAGTGTGACCAAAACATGGAAGATGCTTGGTTTTTCCAAAAGCTTTGATAACTGCTTTTTTTATATTCGCGACATTGTCTGTCACTATAGCAACAATTTTGTGATCATTAATGCCCCATGTGTCACATAAACTCTTCAATACGGATTCTAGATAATTGGAGGTGTGACTTTGGTTTAACTCTGTTACACTGATTGACACCGATTTTAAATCATTTCCATGAATAAAATGACATGTTAGACCTAAAAAGCTCCTGGTGTTGAGGGTATCAGTCCACACATCGGTGCGAAGAGAAATATTTGTCACATTTTTAATTATTTCTTTCATTTTATATGAAAGAATATTATATTTTTCGTCTACCATATTTGTCATTTTTGATCGCCCAGGAATCTTATAAAGGGGAACGGTAACTTTCATAAGATTCTTGAATCCCTCTTTTTCAACAGTATATAGTGGCAAATTGTCTTTTGCTAACATATAAATGATAGCATTAGAAATCTTTCCGGCTTTGATTCCACCATCTGAAATAATAAAAAAAAAATCACTACGAATAAACAAAAACAGAATCATGATATACCTTTATAATCTTTTTATATTACTTAGACAAGTTTCTATTCCCGGTTGTGTATGTTTAGTATTAGTAGTAGCTACTGTCGATACAAAGCGGCTACAGATAGACGAAGAATCCGATATATTTTCTTTTTGAAGTAATATATTTTGTGGCTCATTCTCCTTAGATGCAGAAGAAATGTTTTCATCGGCATTTAAATCCATCTAAAAAACAACACGTATAAAATATCAGATAATAACTTCAATGAGAAAAACAACAGCAATAAGAATTTAATAGAGATTGAGTTTCATGCACTAATGTGAACAAATTACGTTCATTGAACTACAAATACATAAAAATACTAACATATTCACATTCACTTTTGCTACGACGTCTCGAGACCCGAAGTTAATTTTCTTTTGCATGTTTTCTAAATAAATGATTTTTGAAGTTTGTAGTGTTGCCTTTAGTTTTAACATCTACTTGACAATGTTTGCACCTTCCACCATTCTCATTTTTGATAAAATAAATCCAAACTTCGCTTTTGTTGGACATTTCAGTAGTTGAAACTAGTAGTTCATTAGTTGAAACCTGAAGTTAGGTTGTTTGTATTATATTGATAATGATAACTAAATTATCTACTATCTAAAGGAGGCTACTGAACTGACTAAGCAGTAAAATAATTGGTAATTGATTTTCAAAAATTTCAAACAAACATTACCCCAACAATACACCCAATAACCAAATAAAATTACTAGTATACTTACGATTTGATTTTTCCTCAAAATGAAAACAAAAACCACCAAAAATGCCGAAACAAAATTCCCGTGCGGCTTGCGTGCAATAAAAATGGAGGTTAGGTCAGGTTAGGTTAATTTATTTTCTGCTTTTTTTCTTCTTACTTGTCATTTGTCATTAATTATTGGCATCTTACCGTTTAGGATTGACGTGTCTGCTTACGTACAGCAGAATAAATCATAACAGGTAAAAGAAATTGCTTCAGGTTAGAACGAAAACTGAATCGTAAAAATCTTAAATCGGCTTCGATTCGCCGATTAGGTGAATCGATCTTCGGATCGATTCTATGCTCTCGAATTGATTCAAAAAATCGATTTTTCTACTAAAAAAGATCGATCTTCCGATTAATCGATCTCAAAACGACATCCCGAGTGTACATAAAGATTTGTATTGGGTATAGGGCAAAACTATTTAGAGCAACAGAAAAAAGTCTATTCATATGAAGTGAGAATAAGAGGGAGAAAGAAGAATAGGGCGTTGACAATTCCACTATTCTTCGCAACGCTGACCGATCTTATCCTTTCACTCCGACATGCGAACCACACAAATTCAGTCTAGACTAGATCGAGTCCATAGCGCGGGAAGGTAAAACAATAGATTCTGTTTTTCGTTTTAAAATAAGTAGTTATTAATTTAAAAATAGGTCAATTTCTACGGATAATGCAGTTCGTGCAATTATAGCAACATTTGATAATTTTGGAATGTGTGTTTGTCTTCAAGTAGACAAATTTCCGCTGAAGTTGACTTGAAAGAGAGACAGGTACGAAATATTTTAAAAAGAAACGGGTATTCCTGTTTTAAAGTATAGACCACTCAATACATTTTTCCTGACGACCATTTTAAACGGATGGAGTTTTGCCAGATAATGATGGAAGATCAAATAAAAGTATTAATTTATTTAAAAATATATTATTTACAGATAAGTCTTCTTTCATTCTCCATAGAAAACATAATCCATCCGTTTTACGCTATTGGTTGCAGGAGAATTAACATATAAGTGTAGCTGTACGCTTACAATATCCGCAAAAATTGAATGTCTGGGCGGGAATCTTGGGGAATAAGGTCATCGGTCCTTTTTTTCATTTAGGGTAACCTGAATGCCCAAAAGTATTTACAAATATTTAAAAATGACATTATTCCTGCCGTCAGAAACCTTCAGGTCAACTTCATTGACATTTGGTTCCAACAAGAAGGATGCACAAAACATAGATAGTGACTACCAAATAAACAATATCCCAATCGAGTTATTGGTACCAAATGCACTATAAAATGGCCACCACGGTCGTCAGACTTAACGCCACTTGATTTTAATTTTTGGAGAATGCTTAAATTAACGAGCTACCAACTTGGATGAATTACGTTAATAAATTATATAGTTCAGTGCTCAAATCACACCCGAACAACTCAGTGTTAGGAGAATAGAGTAAAAGTGTTGTATAGAAAAGATAAATTATTGTAATAAATAAATTAGAATTGTGAGTTATAATAGTGCCTAAGTATTAAATAAATTAATTACATAGTACGTTATAAATAAATTATAAATAAACTGTTTTTAATAAATAAATAATTTTTAAATTAAACAATCGTTACAATATGAACCAGAAAAAACCACAAAATTCTTTTAATAATTTGTTAAAAAGAAATATTAAAGATTTTTAAAAATAAATTTTAACTATTTAATCAACAAATCGATTTTACTATTAATCAAAATAGAAATTAGACGTCTGACTTATTTGACAGGGAAGTAGTTTCATACTCACATACATGTTGAAAATAGATTTTTCCTACGACCACCTAGGAAAGTGACACATATCACACTATATAGTCCTATGGAAAGTGCCCTATATCACACGCGTATGAATAAGAATTTACTTTCCACCCGTGTACGAATATGCTACTTTCCGCATCAGCCATCACAAAATGTCAAACGCGTCATTTCTATTGTGATCTATGTAATGTCCATATTAATACTAAAATCGATATGATTGTTAAATTATTGAAATTGTAGTAAATTAGATCCTAGATATTTATCTTTAACAATTATTATTAAAATAATTTTAAAATAACTAAGTTATGTTTGCTTTTTATTCTGGTTAAACACATAACCGATTAGATCCTTCAATTGACACAAGGCCTATTAGCTCAGATGGTTAGAGTAACGAACTTTATCAACTTTGCTATTTGAGACCCCGCGAGCGAGCGACCGCGTTCAAATCCTTGCGGGGGCAGAATTTTTTTTTTTATTTTTTTTTGTTTAGAAAATATATAAATTGAATAAATACGATTATTGTTGATTATTTTTTTAAATACACTTTAATTATTATAACCTGATTTTAGATTTTTTGATGAACTTTTTTTGTGGTCGTAGGAAAAATATTGTACATCACTTGTGTGAAAAGTGATTTTCCACTCTCTTGTGATAGTCGCACTCGGCTTGTGCCTCGTGCGACAATATTTCCCACTCGTGTGAAAAATGTCACTTTCGACACTCATAATATAATATACTATATCCACATGCGTGTGATAAAGGGCACTTTCCATAAGACTAAATAGTGCGGTAGTTGTCACCTTCATAAGTGGTCATAGGAGAAAAAATATTTTCTATGTCAATTATTAAATCCTAAAACCAATCTGGATTTATGGCATACAGCTATGTGCCAGCAAGAGTAATATCAACATGATTCAAGTTTTCCAAAATAAATTCCTAAGATGTATTGTTGATGCACCTTGGTTCTACCGAAACGATTATCTTCATAGAGACCTGAAGATGCCAACAATCGAAGAAGAAATAAAGAGGTTTGCTGCGAAACATGAGGGTCGACTCCACTCCCACGTCAACGAAGAAGCGCTGCAATTACTGGACAACTCTACACTCAACAGAAGGCTCAAAAGGAAGAAGACATTTGAGCTCTTGCAGTGAACGTTAATGTTAGTGCTAGTGTAAAACAGTGTAATAAATCTTTACGCCAACTTGTGATGCTTTCCTATAGAAACAATTAAGACAACCCAATGGGGACTTCTTAGATAAGTAATTAGTTTGTAATATTTTTAGATTAAAATTGTAGGTTAGTCAGTAATGACTAGTAACAAAACTCTAACAAAAAAAAAAAAAATTATTAATATTATGTGACTCAAAAGGAATATATTTTTTGTCTGCATTTGATATGGAATGGTTTGATCCAATTTGGTTAAAATAAAAATAAAGGAAAATAAGAAAAACTCAAGTGTGTCCTTACTAGGACTTAGTAGCAAGAAATAGACATTCCCATTATTATTTTTTCCCATTTTTAATTTGATCAAATTTGAGTTTATTTACTTTAATTTGATTTTTTTTAACCCTTTTAACCCTTTTGCCCGTGCACCGATGTTTTTCTCTTCCTTTCCGATTTCCATTCATTCATTTCTATTCTTATCGTCCACGCTTTATCAACTTTGTAATTCGGCCTAATTCTATTAAGGGTCGAACCAGGAAATTATACGGCGAGCGGGTGCTTTAAATAGTGCTCGAGGGATGGACGGTGGATGTGAAGTGAGTGGGTGCGAATTTTATAGGTGAACGAATATTTCACGCTTAAAGCCTACTTGCTTTTTCAGCAACATCGAGTGTGATATGTAATTTGAATTATATCTATACACTGTGTCCCAGATTGGTGATGCATCCATGCAAGCCTAGGATAGTATAAGGTTTATCGGCAAATTATTTTGCTTGTTGAACCTTGGTATATAATGAAATCATAAGCAATACCGCTGGCCCCACAAAGATTAAATATATTTATTTTTCACATATTGTTTTATTTCCAAACGCCCAGTAAACGGAACTATATGTTCATCTACACATAGATTCTTTTCTTTTGGCAATTGAAGACATCGATTTCTAAGACTTTCTAAGATTGGTCGAAATTTGAAAAGTTTGTCTGTGCAACCTTCCGGCTTTTCAAGAATATTTACAATGTGTAAATGTTTTCTCAATTGGTAAAATCTATTTCAGCTTGCGAAAAATATACATATTTGGATTTTTTTTCAATCCTTTCAATCCTTCACTTTATATGTGTACTGAATGGATCTACGTCAATTCATCGCCCGACAATTCATCGCCCGAAAATTCAGAGCCGACATTTCATCGTAAGACGATTCACCGCTACGACAATTCACCGCCACGACAATTTGTCGCCAGCCATTTTTTAGAATTCATCTTATGGTTTATTTTATTTTTTTTATTATAATCAAAATTTTATTTTATATATTTTTTAGTATAGGTAATTAAAGACAAGTAGGTATATTGAAAAAAAATATATTATAAAAAATTGTAGTTGCTAGTTATTACATTTTAAATTGAATTAATATAATATAATAATATTAAATAATTTAGACTTGCATTCGAAAATTATTCACAATTCCTCGAAGATATTCCATGGTATTACGAGCGTCGTAGGATTCTGTAAGTAGTTTTAAACGACGTGCAGAATCTTTGTAAATTTTTTTTGAGTAATTTCATTACCTGCCACAATTTGCTCTATTTTCAATTTTTTAAAACTTTCCTCCTTTTGTAAAGCCTTAATTAGCCTCCAAATGTTGGGATGTGCAATGGAAACAGTTGAACTGAAACTGTTATGCCATCCTTCAACTG